TCTTCAGTGTATCTTCAATAAGGTCTTCTTTAATTCACCGAGATTGCAGCCAAATAGAGGCTTTCTTATACTTTTCCACACTCAAGACCGCTCCGGAAAAAAACAAAACTGGAAGAAGTAACCTTAGGAGGCAAACAGTCGAAGTTCATCGGAAAAGGAACACATGGCGGAGAAGTTGAACACCAAGCATATATATCTAGACGCGGGGTGTGCGACAGACTTACCTCCACGTGGTGCACCCTGGGCAACGTATACTCAGCGGCAAAAAATCTATTAACCGGCAGTTGACTTCAGACTCCAAACTACCATCACCCCACTGTATGTCAAAGTTGACTACTTCAACCGTACTCACCTCACCCTTTTTCGAACTTTGTGTCTGTCTCTTTTACATCTTTGAAACACTCTTCTGTCCCTCCCCCCCCCATCTCGACCTTTTCACTTTGATGTTCCTTCCCATCTGTGAAGCCTGAAGTCAACTAAAGGGCTAATGATAACTATCAAAACGCCTGCCATTTGATATAAATAAATAAAATATATAGACGCGTTTAATAACAGGACTGTGATTGTAAATATACTCCAGTAAAGCTAACCATTTAAACAGTTAAACGGAAGGAACAACTATTCAAAAAAATTCGAATGTATTTATCCTAATTTCATTGCACAGTAATTAAGCATTGGTGTATAAATATTCTGTAAAAAATGTGGAAAAATCCCGCACTCTATCGGTGAATTTCAAGAATTTTTTTATTTTCAGTCGCGTACCTGGATGAGTTCCCTTTGAAGTTAGATGCTCAAGTGCTCGTATCGATTTTCAAAGTCTTAGTGCAATAGCATTCATATTCGTGTATAAATCTTAAACTCAATACGTTATACAGAGTGATCCATTCTTTGATATTCTATCCACCTCATCACTCAAAATAGCAGAAACAGTTAGAACTACGACAGTGCGGGGGGGGGAGTCGTTTAAAATTAGCGCTTTTAGGCAAAAACAAAATTCGCCCAATCGTGTGCGCACAATTCGACATCCGTTGCACTTAAAATACAAAGTCCAACACAGAGGTGAATTGTAACAGAGAAATCTAAATCAACTAGACACACACACTGCTGTGTTGAGATGAAGTGCCTCCACTTGAAGCAATGTTGAAGTGTACTCTAAGACCTCGCCCTCTCTCTCTCTTTCTCTGTGAGTGTGTGTGTGCGTGTGTGCAGATGTCCTGACCCCAAAATGAATATACTTAAAAGAGCACAATTCTAGTTTATGCAGGAATCATTGGATTAGGTTTATTTCTTAAGCATAATGTGTGAATTTGAGTTACTTTGGAACCTTGCTCATATAGTATATAAATAAAACGTCTTTTAACTGTCATGCAATCATTTGTGATGACTGAACACAAAATAATTTGAAGAGGGTAAAAAATGGTAAATGTCTGTTATAAAACTATTAGGCTGCCGGATCTGTTTGGAATTGTCAGAATAATTTATTTAACATGTTCGATGACTGTTTGGGGACATTATTGAGGGTTGATATTTGTCATTACAGCGTTCTTAGTCAGACCCGCACTTTAATAAAACAAGTTAATGCTCTAATTGTGAATGGACGGATATGCTCAAGTAACGATCAATGACCTTGATGATTAAGTTGTAATTTTAATATGGCTGGATATTGACGGGGTTTCTAGTGAAAATCATAAATCTTCAATTAGCGAAAAAAGTCTTTTTGAACTCTAATTGTGGAAACCATTTTGATTTTGTGTTGACAGGCTTGGGGTGTGCGGTAGACTTACCTCCAAGTGGTAAGTCTATGGTCAACGTATACTCATACGGCAAAAAGGTCTATTAACCAGCAGTTGACTTCTCACTTCAAACTACCATGACATCACTGTATGCCATATTCGACCACTTTCACAGCACTCATCTTACCCTTTCTCTGCCTTTGTGTCTATCTGTCTCATTTATATCTTTGAAACGCTCTTCTGTCCCCTCCTCTCGACATTTTTTCCCGTTGATTTTCCTTCTCCTCTCTGTGAAGCCTGAAGTCAACTAAAGGGCCAATGATAACTATCAAAACGCCTGCCATTTGTTATAAATAAATATTTACAGGCTTACGTTTTATCTTGACTACTTTAACAAACATCAATTACTCAGTCTAATAATTAGTTATAAAAAAACTGTATTGACCTCTCGCAAACAAGAAAGTGGGCCCTTTGACGCTATTGGCTAACATGTGATGGCCTAGTCCCCCAAAGAGTTAGATAACCTAAACATTTTTAAATATGAGTAAAACAGCCGAATGGCTTTTTACGTAGGCGATTATAGCTCAGTATAAGATTAACAAAATAGTCAAGAATTGCTCCCACCTTTAGTGCATAATGATTGGTTGCTGTATAACTATTTCTCACCAAACTGTATGTAAAACTCTTGAAAGAGCATTAGTTAGCACTAGTTAGCAAATAATCTTTATCTCAATTCCACCAACTTGAATTAATTTTTATGTGCGTACTCAAGCCCTTAAAAGAAGAAACTTTCAAATTAAACCATACAAACCTCACAAATATGGAGGTGGTCGACAGAATAAAAAATGTCAAATTGTTACGTAATTTAACCTAAACTATGAAGAACTGAGTTCAATGTAGGTATTTGCTGATTTTAAGTTGAAAATATTCAGCAGAACCTTGGACAAACAAGGCAAATGTCCACGACAGGTAGAAGAGCCACACTAGCGAGCATTCATGCAACCCCTCCTGTGGGAAACTCCCATTTAGTTAATCATGGGGTTAGCTTTACATCAGATCTGTCCCGATGAATATGAAGTTAAGCTCCATCGCAAATTCGACTAATTTGATTACCACTTAATGCGGTCATCCCAACCAGTTAAAGAAATAATCCCCTTCACTAGCTAAGGCCAGCATATCAATGCAAAAATTACTTTGCTATTTGTACAAATTTTATATTTGCCTGTTCAAGCAATACCGAACAGAATCAAAATCATAAGCCCTCCAGATAGGATTTTTTTATTTGAAAGAGAATTTAGACGAACACTACCATGATATCATCTGACAAAGCCAAGTCGCAGTTCTAAGTATGGTTAGGATGGAAGAAGCCCTCATCTAGAAAATTAAGCATTGATCTTGATTACTTGTGGGTGCCTGTGTAGTCAATTTTGTGCGTGGGTGGATTCACGTATATGCACGCAATAGTAAAGGTGCCACTAACCGCTCACTTCAAAACACTGGTATACGCAAGTCGGTAACACGGTGAGCGTATAGTGAAAAACAAATGTGTGCAAGAGTATGAACGTTGTGCGCACTTATATCGATTGTGTTATGCCGTGCTGAGCAAAGTGATCAGCTGTTGAGAGATCAGCTATTGTGGTCTTACCAATGAAGTTGCCAAAAATAGATAATTAATTCGAGGAATTCTTTACACTTATATTTTCTAAATAGATGAGTTTGACGGTGATATAAAAATGAATCGAAAGCCGATTGGTTGCAAGCAAAACACTGCAAAGATATGCAAAATCTACGAAAAAATGTACGATTCCGGCTAATTGAAAATAATTCGAATGATCCAAAATTAAATAAGATTCCGAATGACACAAGTCAAAAACGATTTTTAGAGATTCAGTAGATCATTTATCAAACAGTCCATAATAAAAAATCTCAAGAAGACATATTCTTTTTAAAGATAAAACTAATTCGTCAAATATTCATGAAGTGAGGTAAACAACAAATACAAAAGCAGAAGAGTATCATGCAAAAGATTTATGATTAAAAAACAAAAAAAAAGAAATGAGTAAACAAAATTCTACTATATAGAAGACATTTAAAAAAGATTCTAAAACAGAATCCCCTAGAGATACAAATCATATACCACAGCATCTCAAAAATTCAAAATAAAATAAAAATAGTTATAAAATGCAAAACACTACACTTTGCATCAAGTAGAGCTTAATGAACAAAAAACATTAACTTCACATTATAAATATCATTAACTTAACAAGTAAAATAATTAAAACTGAAACTCACTATCGTCTCTTGAAATAGCATCGGTAAGCACAGGATCCATGTTTAAGTCAAATGAACAGTGAGGCAAAGAACCGCATAGAGGTGTTGGATACCTGTAATTCATCATTTTCATCCGAAATTTAAAATTTCATTCCCATTTAGATGCTACGCGAAAACAGATTTTGATAAGTTCACGTAGTGCGGCATTGTAAAGGTCATTCGAGCATTAAATTAAAATTCTAAAAATAATTTATAAAGATATAATAATTGAAATACTGAAAAAAAAAACAAAAAATTGCAAGTTAAGTAAAAAATCAATAGATATTACACCCACTATAAAACACTTTAATATCTACTAATTAAAGGTGGCCTTCCATATGATATTTAATAAATCAAACTTTAAATGCTCAAGATTATCGAAAAACATTATTTTTATAAGTTTATAATTTAGTAACCTGGTATGCTCTTTAACTTGGCCAAAATATCGAGTCAGCCCGTTTTTTTCATTGTTACTTTTCAATAGGGGTGTGCTTTTCTTGTTTTTTTATGTGTTCATTTTAATGAAACTTGAAGTTTTTACTCATTTAATTTTATTTTTCCCTAATTTTGTCTCTTTCTCTTTTAGTTGAATGAATAGATTCCGAATATTTTTTCGCCCAACTTTGTGTGCCTCGTATCATTTTCGCTCTGCCTCTAACTTTTCTAGCTCATCATCGACATGGTTTGCTGGAAGCGCTCCTCGGACAGACCTCACAACTCCTTCGGCACACCTTACTAATCCTTCAGCTTCTATTAACCGGTTTTATACTCTTCCTGGAGACATAGCATCTCGAGTGATTTCTCCTTTTCTTACACAGGAGCACTTAAATGAGCTCAAACTTTTTGATGACTTTTCTCTCCTTGTTCGCAAACCCGCCCTTGACGTAATGGCTTGCATGGAATCTTCCAAGCTAATAAATTCGGTTCCTAGATTTGTTCTCCACGGTCAACCTGGTTGTGGTATATCAGTTCAGCTTGCGTACCTTGCTCACTATGCTACTGAAAAGAAGGGACTTATTTTCGCCTTTCCTAATGCTGAAAATTGGCTCGATAGGTGCAGTGACTTTACAGCAAGCAATAACTATCATCAAGAACAACATAAGAACGAATTTGAAGGTGAAGCAGTTGATTTTCCGAGTCGATCCGCCGAGTGGCTAAAGAGCTTTGTTAAATTAAACTCTTCTAATCTTGAAAAGGTATTTAGCGTTATTCTTAATGTAATTTCTTCTCTTAAAATTGCCTTTTAATAATTACTTTAGATCAACCCTCAACTGACAAAACAAGTCGAATGGTCCCTTAAGGATGTAGCTCCGGTAGGAACTCCATGGATCGAACTGATTGATTTCGCTCTAACGAGAACAAAGTATTCTTCAGATTGCATTGGTATTCTGCTTCGTGAGGTATGTCTTTCACTCGCTTTTTACTTCTTTTATAAACTCTTATCTTTCTTTTATATACTTTTTGTTTTTTTTCAATTGTACATTGACAATTTTCGTCCCCTTATCCAATGAATTTCATGAATTTTTAGAAATTTTTAAAATTAAGCTTCAATTTTCGACAATTTATCCCTTGCTCCTTGTCTTTTGGAAAAGTTCAATTGGAAATTTTGTTTTGCTGTCAATCACTCTGATTATTTACGCAATTTTTACTCTCCTCAATGAAGGTTTTGTTCAATTATTCTTAATTCTGAAATTACCTTTTTATTTTTGGATAATTTTTTTCTTTCGTTACTTTTTAAGTTGTCAAAATTGGAAGCTTTAATTAATTACTTGCTTCTGAACCTCATTATTCTTATCTCATCCGAACTATTAAATCCCCTGCTTCGTGTCTGTTATTTCCTTTTACTCTTTTTGAATACGGTCATAAAATATCGCTTTAATCGTTTCTTACACCCAGATGCGTGCCCTTTCGGCTAGTGAACATGCAGTTCCCTGTTATCTCATAATCGATGGTGTGAACTTCCTCTGGTGTCGTGGAACTCGAATGCAGGACAAGGTAATGCTGAAGAAGGTGGCAGTTGACCGCCTGGCCATTGTGCATCACCTGAGACGAGCTTTGAAAGGTGATTGGCCTAAAGGCGGAATTATAACTTCAGTCAATGAACGCGCCTCCTGGCCTTCGGATCGGGAGCATCACACCCCAGGGTAAGTTGAAGCGATAACACTTGGTAACTATATCTATTGACATTCAGCTTGATAATTTTGAGATTCAAATAGGAGCAAAATCTATAATCACAGTACATCCCTCACCCACAGGTTTATTCACTACTCCCATCATTCTCCCACCTAATATTGAAGTCACTTCACTCCAATATTGCTGCCTGGCTACTAGTTAATCGATCTCACATCTACTTATATATTGACTGTTAATAAGAAGATACTGGGTTAGAATCTTGACTAAATTTCCTTCAAACGGTCGAAAAATTGTGTAAGAACAGGTATGTGCATTCTAGCGAAATCAGAGCTATGAGGTTTGAATGTAGATCACAGATCTATTCCACAAAATTGAATAAATTCAGAAATGATACATCAAGTTTGTCGGAATTCATTCCTAATGAGGTTAACAAGAATTCAAACACTTGATTTAGATTGAGGGAAGATATCCTGGAAAACTCTCATTCCGCCACCTGCATCACTGGGTGTGACCACAGCACCGCCTGCGCTCTTGTGTCACTTAATTTTTAAGGTTTATTCGGTTGATTTTCAGGGTGTCTTTATGATTGACCGTATTTATTCTTTTCGTAATAATACTCGTTCTTTCTTTCAGTTACTTACTTACGAAACGTGGTTTCGAAACAATGGATCCTTTTGTTCCTGTACTGGTGCCGAACTACACAAATAGCGAACTGGATGCTGTTATGCATTTCTACGCAGAGCACAACTGGTTCTCGAATCCGTCTGCCATGGAATCGGATGGTCGAGCAGAGATTGTTTTCCTCTCCGATAAGAATCCACGAGAATTGGCTAGAGTTTCTGCAGAGTGGTAATTAGTAATTGCTCTGTTCCTTTACATAAATTTGTACAAATAAATTATTTGCTGTAGACAGAAGATTTCTCGATTTTTTGATAGAGATGGGTCAAGTTGTTCAGTTGTCAATTAAAATAACATGATTGACTCTTTTCGAATAAGTAATGAGTACGCCCAGATATGGAATTTTTCCTCCTGATGTCAATAACATGTGCTTGTCTTTTTTTGTCTGAATGAGGTGATTTATGTTTACTCTATATTTGGTTCTACCTTAATTGAACTTCAGTTTGGTCTGTACAAATCAAACATTGACCAAATTGAATCAATGTTAGCCATCACTCGAGTTTGTGAGTGTATTAAATTTATTCATCCATAAACGAAAGCTGTCTAAGAACTTCAATTTTCTTGAAATATAGTGTTGCGGAGCTCCTGTAAGTATTTGGAAGCATCGGCTATTTATTCCATTTTCTACATAGTTCAGTTATCTGCGTTGTTTTCGAGTTGATTCAGTTAGTCCTATAAGTGTTCTGCACGTTTCACTTTCATGGGCTCCAACGAAAGAGGACCAGCATCATATATCTTGAACCATTTCAAATGAAATTTTAGAAGTCTTTTTTCGTTGCATCTTATTGTTTTATATCAATCAATGTCAGATCACCTGCCACCATGTTTTAATACAGAGATTCTACAAACAATTGAGCCGTCCAATGTAGTTTACCAAGGATAAGACTGAAATTAAGCAAAGTGAAACAATTAATAGCGTATAATCAGCTCAAGTGTTTAATATTTGTATGTGAAGACATTTATAACACGTTCGCAATCAGACAATAATATACGCTAATATCTGCGTGAGTTTAGTTATTGCCTTTTCACCTTCAGTGACCCTCACTTCTCATGAGGTAAATGGGCAACAACTTATTTACTTAACCATTCGCATCTGGTTAGTGGGCACATATCACTGCAATATATGCATTGGTGTCGAAATTCATGTTCTAAATAATTTAATTTAAAAAAATAGTACAATTCATTGGCTCATTTTACTTCCACCCCACCCCCTCTCTACTAAACTATATTTAGACTAAAAAGAGTGCAACACTAAAAGTTAAACTAGGCAGGATCAGCAGTATTTTATTTATATCCAAAAATTTTAAATTAATAAAAGCGTGCTTTATTTTCACTTCTTATGCCTCTTGTTTGGACTACAAGGGAAGAAAAAATTAAGTCACTTCACTAGAGTCAAGAAATAGGAGACGTTCTAAACCTACTTTCGATTGTACTGCCTCATTGTGTTATACTCAACAGTAAATACATTTGGGACGTTTGTGAAGTCCTGGAGCATGAGCTGTGTCCCAATTTTACTGAAGGGAATATTAGAATTCTCCAGTGATATGTTACCTGTTAACGATCCATGGGAACCAAGGTGTGCAAATGACATGAACTAAAAAGAACCAAAAGCTGCCGAAAATAATGCCCACAAGAGCACCCATGAAAATCTGGCCCATGTAGTGAAATTCCAAATAGATTCTAAAAAGTATGTAAAACACGAGGATTTCTACCTAGTATAGCAGACGATAGTTGAAAAGACGAACATAAAAATTGGGGCAAGAAAGCGGAAAGTAGAAGAGTAATGTCTAGGTGAGAGACGATATCTAACAAAAAGAGCAAAGTAGGCCGTCATGAAAAACATAAATTGAGCATGATTGGACGGCATTCCGTGGGACGAAACAAGCAACGAAGCTAGAAATTAGCATAAAAAACAATGGGACCTACGATGAGTAGGAGGACGCGGTGCCTTAATCAACTTCTTTGCAACTTTGCATAAGACCTCATTTGAAAGCATTCCAATTGCATATAAAATCTAATAAATTAATCGTTTCTAAATAAATTACACTATGCAAATCTCGTTTAATAAATGCCAAACATAAAACAGAGAACGCGATTATCAGGACAGATTGCGAAATCCATGCTGCTAAATAGCTAATATGGTCATCTAGTAGTTGTAAATGAAAATTGGAATACCTCTCTTATATAATACAAGAAAAGAATCAAGCGGCTTCCATTTCTCTAAATGATCCATCACCAATGACAAAGGTGTAGAACGAAGTTATCTAAACTGGCGAATACACCCACAAATAGGTGAGGTGGAGATTCCAAGGACATATGAAGATTATCAAATAATAACTGTTAAATTTAATCATCCACAATGTGTTATAAATAATTCCTGTTCACTTTATATTTTCCTTATAAATATGTCAATAGGAATTTTACTTTAATTTTTACCACCTTTTCCAATTTGTAGCAAAAATTTATTTATATTTATTTATTTCAAATGGCAGGCGTTTTGATAGTTATCATTATCCCTTCAGCTGACTTCGGGCTTCACAGGGGGAAGGAACATCAAAGTAACAGAAAGTCGAGGGATGGGGAACAGAAGAGTGGTTTAGATGATTACTGGGGAAGTAGTAGAATATGGCATCCAGTGGGGTTATGGTAGTTTGAAGT